ATATTGTAACAAAAGGAGAGATGAGATGGCGCTAAGAATTTTCTCTGTGGTCCAGTACACTTAAAGTTATAGAAATACGTACATTTATTTATACAGTATACTATATAAGGTGCATGCTATTTCGGGACGCGCATGGGCATTATTTTGAAGCCAAGTATACTATTTTAAGGGAATGCGATTTTCGAAATAATGCCCATGTGCACTATTCCGCGGTAATACGGTACTACACTTTAACTTCATAATTAATTTAATAAACTCTTTAATTACCCCTAATTTTCATCATGTATTCTACCTGATCTTTCTCATACTGATATTATGTTTAAAACATTTTTATTTTTTTCTTATTTGAATATAGTCTGGAGAAAATAATTATCATGGCATATTGAAGCCTATAACTCACAGAATGAGTTAGAAGCACCCATAGGAAGTAAAAGCTCCAGGCTAAATTTACATATATGTAAAGATGTGGTTTCAGTCTGCGAAAAGAATAATGTTCTGTTAAATGATTGTTGTTAGTATTTAGTATTATTGTATAATCCGATATATTAATTTATGCTAATAAAGAAAAACCCTATAACCTGTAATTATGGGTGTTAGTTTATTGATTTGAACTATTTAACATTAATCACTATTTGTTTATGATCGAAGCTAAATTAGTCTAAGAACCTATAAACTCTCTCCCAATCATAACACCGCCCATACTTTAATTTTCCCACTACTCGATTGATTGCATGATCACAAGAGTCGTTCTATTCAATTTTCATTGCACTTTCCATTTCTCAATTCGTTATACAAGTTGTTATCAACTTGCATACCTTTTACTAAGTATAACTGCTCTGAATAAACTATGTGACAGTTAGTCATGATAAAAATCATGATAATTTTAATATAGCTTATTATATTGAATACATATATGTATGTATATAGCAATAGATAAATTCTGTAATAGAACTTTTAACACTAATATAAGATGGGTAGTGCGAATGCACCACCCATCGCACTAGTATAATAAAAGTCTTAGTAAGCTCTATTAACTCTTTTGTAAGAAACTTATTAATATTATAAACATATTATAAATAATTTTAAATTTTATTATAAGACTATTATATTACCATATTTTCGTGAAATAACACACCCAGCATGTTATTTTGAGTATAGGTGCATTATTTAAAGTATATGCTGGGGCATTATTTTGAAACAATAGTAATTTACAGCTGATTTGGGAAATGTTAAAGCCAGGTGTACTAGAACTACTGTTTCGATGAAGTTAGAGTTACTTTTTTGATATAATTAAAGTTAGTAGGTTATATAGATTTCAAGAATACAATTTATACAGTATATACAGTCGACTCTAGATATACCGAACTGCAGAGTCTGGACCTTTTTGTTCAGTATAGAGTAAGTTCGGTATATAATTTACTCTCTCTATACCAAACTGTTCAGTATATAGAGCTGGCCAATAAAAACATTTCATATGATTAGCAATCATTTCAATTTTTATTCAATTTTTTTTTTATTTCAAATATTTCTATATGAAATAAAATTCTATTTATATAAATTTAAATATTTCTATTCTAATAAAAAAATTTACTTTATTCAGCATTTAAGAAATAGTTAAGATCGGTCTGTAGATTTTTAACAACGTTCAATCTAACTCTTTTGTATAACTTTCATAACACCTTTACTTCTTCTTCAACTTCTCCGAATTCAGAACCCTGCTTATATAAAAATTTTAACATTTGATTCATATATTTTTCTGCCTCTGTATAGCTAATTTTCACTTCTTCAATAGAGTTTTCTGCTTGTTTCTCTTTTTCCTCTTCCCTATTTTTGGTTTCAACAATTTCCAAGATCTCTTCTTTAGTAAGATCTTTGTTAACTTCTTCATCCTCAGCATTATATAGTCAAATACAGTAAGACAGTCATTTATTAATAATGGTAAATTAACAATTACTTCTGAAAGTTTCAATTCATCATCTATATCACTAAAAAAAAAAAACTTTTTAATTTTTTTTTTTAAATAAAATTTAATACGTATCTAGTAATGGGTTAATGTATTTAATTATACCAATACATTAGCTCATCAAAAATTTATTTGTGTGTATTCTAGGAAAAACCTGTAATCGTGTTTCAATTATATAGTTGAAACCTGATTACAGGTTTTCTCTTAAACATGCTTATTTATTGTATTAGTTGGTGTATTTTGTTAAAATTTGCAAGAATGTATATTTTAAGATTATTATGCATAAATTTTAATTGTATGAATTTTAAAATTAACATTCTTGCATTATTAATATACTTACGCATCCTCGTATATTTTTCCAACAATTTTTTATAGTATTTGATGACACCATAAACCATGCTTCAGCTATGTTAAGTATAGCATCATAAATATTATAGTCAGCTATTTCTTTTTCTACGCCATCTTACACATCATTATAGGCTTTAATTCTGTTTTAAACGAAGAGAGTTTTGTAGTGGCACTTGAAAGAATGTATAATGCTAGCATCACAAGATTAGAGAACAGGAGTTGTATGTGCTAGAAGAAATTCTACTTGTACACAATCCAATTGTCTTTTAGTTTTATCAAGAACAGTATGTACTGAAGCTTGGTTAACTAAAAGTATAATTTTTCAACATTTTTGGCTTATTCTATTGTTAAGCTTAAGAAGAAGTTGATTAAAAATAGTAGTTTTTATCCAAGCTCTTTTATTATTAAAATAATGAACAGGAAGATTATCATAATTAATATTCCACATAGCATGGGGTCTTTTGGTGGTATAAATAAATGCTAGTTTTATTTTTTCCATTCTACTTGCATTTATAGCACAAAATATTGTTGCACAAGTTTTGCTTTTTTGTGTCCTGCCAATTTTGAACAAGTCAATACACGAGAAGGTTCCATTTTTCGATAAAGCTCTGTTTCATCAGTATTTCAAATATCGTCAAGACTATAATGTTGAAGTAAATTTTGTAACCTAAGTCACTTTTTTGTTACTTCTTCCATAGAAAGTATACTTGCTTCACCCTCTTTTTTAAATTGACAAAGTCCATTACACTTTTTGAAACCAGTAAGCCAACTATCAGACTGATGAAAATCTTCAATATGAAGGCGATCAGCAAAAAACTTTACTTTTGTTTTAAAAATATGTCCATCAATATCTTGTCCTGTATTAAGTGCATTATCTTTGCTGAAAGTAACAAAATTTAAAAATAAATTAAAGATCTAAAAATCATATTATAAATATATGTTTAATATATTTATATTAACTTTATTATAACTTTATTTTAATCATATATTGAAAATATAAATAAATAATATATATAAAAAATATTTCAAAAATATTTTTGATATATTTTTAATATATTTTTAATATATTTGTAATATGTTTTCAATATATTTTTGATATATAATTAATATATTTTTAATATATTTTTAATATATTTTTAATATATTTATATTAACTTTATTATAATTATATATTAAATATATTTTTATTATATTTATATTGATTTTATTAAAACTTTATATTAAATATATTACAAATATAATTTTATTATATTTATATTAACTTTATTGCAATTATATATTAAATATATTTTATTAACTTTATTATAATTATATATTAAATATATTTTTATTATATTTTTATTGTATTTATTATCTTTATTGCAATTATATATTACATATATTTTTAATATATTTTTATTATATTTATTATCTTTATTTTTACAATTATATATTAAATATATCATAATAATATATTATATATATTATATTCTAAAAAATATATATATAATATTATTATTATATATTAAAAATATATAAAATATTAATATTACAAGCAAACATAAACTATAATCAAAAATACCACTATTCCAAAGCTATGAAGCGATCATACTCCAAACCTGCAATTAACTATGATTGACAATCAACTACGGTTAACAATTATATTCCAAAGTCACGCTCATCAATCAAAGCTACAATTAACTATCATATTCCAAAGCTACGATCAACAATCAAAGCGATAATCATATTCCAAAACTCTAATCAACATAAAATTTTCAAAGACCCATACAAATGCATGCATTCAATAAGGTTTCAGAACAGTGGGGTAAAACGGTAAAGTATCTAAAAAATTTAATTAGTAGGTATTAATAATATATAAAGACAAGCAAATGGAATAAAATATTTATCTTCGATGACGCCCAATAGGTCAAAACATAATAAAAAAATTAACCAAGTATTCAACGCCTTATTTTGAGTAGTCGTGTAAAAGTGTAATGTCTCATAACTAATACTGTTTTTGTAAGTCAATTAAATATTCTAAATCGCACAAAGATAAATATAGAAGTTGTCTCTTTTGATATAGAGTCATTATTCTATTTTGTTTTTCATATTTTTCTTGTTCCCGTGGTTTGTAAGAAACTAGATAATTTCATTTATTAGAGATAGAGAAAAAGTCAAATATTAGCAATTAGTGCCCTTAGATATCAATTGATTAAACTCTCATAGCTGTTTTCGATTTGGTTGGATCGATGATCTGTAAAATTTTTTCTCGCATCTACTAAACTATAATAATAGGCATATTACGATTTATCCCAGGTTTTCCTTTAATTCATGACATTCATATCGATCGATTACGTTATTCCAAGATTCTTCAAAACTTTTAAATCAGTTCTGTCCACTTCCTTATCAATAAATGCATCAAAGGTATCTTTTCGACATCTTTCCTGCTAGCTCGAAATTTCTTAGACTAGTTATATTAGAATAGTTCTTTTTTTTTACCTGCAACAATATAATAATTATTAAAATAAATAATTAATTATCCATACATCTCACATCTACCATCAGAGCTGAAATTGATATATCGTATTATGTTTTTCTGATGATTAAAGCTAGAATTATTATTCACGGCTAATACGATACGTGAGTAGATGAAAAAAGATTAGAATTACAGAAAATGGATGTATATAATGCCTTAATACGATAAAACAAAATGATGTGCAAGACATTCGTTGAGGCATTCTCGAAACATAACCACATAAGGTGTTGAATTGTAGAAACAATTAATGAAGTTGTAAAAAATGTGCATGCTCTAATACAGACGCAAAAAAATAAAAGGTTGAAAGGCCCCTCACCTTATAAAATAACACATAGATATAGTACAACCATTAATATTCAAGTTTCACCTAATGACGATAACATGTCAATCAAGACACTATAACACATATTCTATATTATCCAGCATCATGACCAAACCTATAATATGCGTCACTATTCCAAAAAGTAATATTTAGTTGAAACGTGATAGTTAAAAAAGACTATCGATTATTAAACCTAATTCTTGAAAATTTGAACACTGTGAAAGGCCCCGAGTGTCCACAATTTATTATTATTATTATTATTATTATTTCCTATTATTTTTTTTATATTATTATGTTAGTATTGTTTTTATTACTATGAAGATTAAGACAAGAAAAGCAGGAAGGATCGTCCCTGCTAAAATAAAAATTTCATACCTTGGTTCAAATTTGTACCCAACCAAGCCAGGTTCGAACTTGTACTATTTGTCTAAACAGATACAATTTCATACTATAACGACTATCTTCTTTCGAATTTTAAGTATAGAAGCTAAAAAATATAGTAAGATACCTTCATGTACGCAGCAAAGGTCGAAAAATATTTAAGACCTATTTTTTGCTTTAATAAAATTTAACTCGGACGAATTCTTAACTTAGAAAAGGTAAAAGTAGAAGTTGTTCTCTAAAAAATACTTCGCTTTGAACATAGAATCAATTGTAATATAAATTATTTTTTGTATATTCTTGTCCCTGTGATTTCGTTATAAACGCATTGTTAATTTTTCATAAAAGAAAGAGAAAGAGAAAAAGAGTACCGATTAATAATCAGGCCCCCTTTTTATACAAGAAATCAAATAGACTTCAAATCAATTTCGTCATCCTTACCATTATTCTCTTATTACGTCGATCCACGTGACAATCGTTAAGAATCTTAACGATTGTAGTCGAACACTAAAGCTGTTGCGTCAAAACCTAGAAGAAAAATTTTCTTTAACAACCCATTAAAGCATATAACACAACAAGTGAAACTAGGATCCAAGGATATACTTTTCTAGGTCTCCAAATACATCGCAGCAAGATTCGAACAGGCTTTGAATCTCAGACCAAGTCTTTCCACGCCTCTTTCTGCCTGCCGCCTCAAGGTTTTAATAGTCTTGAGGACGATTCTTAGACTATTCTAATGTGTTTGTTAATAAGCTAGTTCGTTTTAGAGAAAAACCCGATAGTCACCACTTTCTCAACGCTCAGAAAATCTTAGTTAATCATAACTATGCCTCATAATCGTTAAAATAAAAGAAAAAAAATTCACAAGAAGCATTCGATCAAACTGGAATCAGAATCTCAGTTTTAATTAACGAATACCTTATTAAAGCCTTATGTTGAAGAGATATAAAAAAGACTTAGAAAATTTCGCTACAGTACTCAATGACCAGCCAAATTAAACACACATCGATAATTCTCTGATCACATCCTATTTGAAAACCTCTTTTTATCTTCACAAGGTGTTATCCAAAGCGACTGCAGACGAATTGTCCGGAGATGTAATAGCATCAAGAGATGTTGAACACCCTGGATGTTTATACGAAAATTATTTAAAAATCAGTGATATCAAACTAATAAATGATGATTTTTGCTTTAATAAATAATCAAGAAATATTATTACAACATTTATTACTCTAAGTAAATTTGATAAATTTCTTATTTTGATCGTTTTTAAGAGACTGATATTGCCTATAACAATCCCGCAAACTATTATACTTGAACGAAATGAGGATCATACGTGATCTTAAATTAATTTAGAGCCAAAATTTTCAGAATTAAAGCTGGGATACCTACGAAGACATTAATATAGTACAGAGAGAGAGTGTGTGTGTAAGTGTGCTTTTTATTATCGGTTATAATTCACTATATTGCGAAAAGTCAAATTTGTCACCATAATTTTCTTCTAATTATCTTTTTTTTTATCAGTTCCCAAGATTTAATCTTTGTCATTAACCAATACTTCGTGTAGAAATCTTGCTCATACGATTTTGACATTACTCTCTTAAAAGTCGTAGATTATCAGACGCAAATGATCAATAAATTCGTTTGGTGAATTAAACATATTTAGCGTAAAAAAATAACAAAAATTTTCATCAAAGGGAATCTTTTACTAAGCGATCTTAAAGAATTAATTTCTTGGCATTTGGAAAAGAAATATAAGCAGATGAGTTTCGAGTAATAGTATTCCTAGAATTAAAATCGCCTTAGTTTAAAACATCAAACTAGTAAAAATAAAAGAATTTGTAAAATAATAAAGAACCTCTAAGTAAACTCTTAAACTTTATATTTAGAATTTGTTCTGAAGCTCCTTCCACTTGGCGTTCTATAAGCTAATTGTCCCAGAACAGAAATATCCGTATATACTTGCTAGAAGTTTAAGAATTTATAGATTAAAAAGTTTATTAAAACCTCTTCTTGAAGAAACTTTTTAAATTATTACTTAATCTTACCTAGCTATTTCAGCTTCGACCTACGACTCGCGATTCAAGCCTTTTACAAGTATAAGAAACTTTTCCGTGCCTATTCAAAGATCTATTGTCCTGGTGAAAATTACCTTAGCAAAGAATAGCCGTGACTTGCGATTAAATCCTTTTATACATTACTCTAAGCATGGTATGGAGTCTTGTTGGCTTTACTTGTGACGGAAGGTATGATCCAGGTAGTATTTATCTTGTGCCATAATTTTAACGAAGTAATGAAAAAATTAAATGAAATTTGTTAAGTAGAAAAAAATAGAGCTAAGTAGAAAGAATAAAGTGTGCTGAAAAAAAAAAAAAATCGGTAAAAACTTCACGGGATTCAATAAAATTTTTATAAGCAATTTTGATGCTTCGATTTGATTGGTAGATAAGAGCGCTTAGTAAAACTTTTAGCTCAGCCCGACCAAGATTATGATGCATTCTGACCCAGAATTTTTCCTAAGCCTCTACCGTGATTTAAATTTTGCCACACTCCAACACTAACCTTAACTAACGCTGGCCATGTTATATTGATTAGGTTAATACTGTAATACAATAACCTGGACCAAACATATTCCAAAATTCAGCGTCGAAACTAATTCATTGAATAAAAAAAAAAAAAAATCATGACCTGATTATTGTATCAACATCTATAATATCTGAAAAGTCTCTAAACAGAACCTTATTGTAATTTTAATAGTACATGATTATACAGTACCAGTATATTTGGTGATGGGCCTTCGAGTTTTTAGATAATAATTAATAATTATCATTAATATTATAGTGAAATCAAACTTTAAAGTTAAAGTTCGAATTTCTTAAAAATTAATAAGGATAATGACAAATAGATTCATAAATAATGAACTATTTCAAAATGTAGATATTTTTGATTCTAAGCGAAGAAACTATTCCAACACGTAGATAATTTATTTTTTATATTCATCAATGTATAAATTAAATAACACTTTTTAGATAGTTTTTGATTGATTTACTGCGCTCACATTATTAAGTTCTTTAGTTAATATAAATGACCAAACAGTTAATAATAATTATTAATTATTAATTAAAAGGTCCCATTGCTAGTATATAGTATCCGTACTGCCGTTACGGATACTGTGTAATACAGTATAGCTACGTATAAAACTTAAAATAATTAGGGAGATGCCGTCTAAGGGCTTTTCACCTATCTTGTATAAATTTTTAGGTGTTCCATCTATAGTAATTTCTACTTTTTTCGCATCACATGATCAGGAATTAATATAACCTATTATTAAAAATGATGGTCAGTATAATAATTTACAAATTACTATTTCAAGTATTAAACAAAGTTTGTTAACAAATAAGTTATTAATATAGCGAAGCAATTATTGACCCATTAAAATAAAATTACATTTTCTTGATCATAGCGTTGTAATAAAAGTTGTTTAAAATGTAACTTCGATTAGTTTCATCATGCTTAGTCGTACATGTACTTGTACAATTGTGCACAAAATGTACACGTGGAATATGATCAACAAAGTTTATTGGAAAAATTCGAATCCAACATAACTCTTCAGGTTCCTGGATGTCGTAGAGTGGACATTTCAATACTGGATCAAGTTTATTTGTTGCCTGAAACCAGCCAAAAAAATGCATAATATTGATTGTTGTTTGCTTTATGCCGGAAAATTGATTCAATTTTAGCGTATGCAATACCCTCTGTCTTTTCTGATAGTTCCACTACATCACCAACGTGAAGTTTTAACCGAATTGGATCTCTATTACTTTCAAGAACAGTGTACGTGATTGAATCATAAAATTCTAAGTTTCTATACGATAATGCAGCTCTTAAATTTAAATAATTGGCATATGCTTTATTAAGATCCTGAAAGAATGGGTGCTTGACATCTAAATTTTTTGATAAACCTGCATTTTTAACTTTATTGTTATTCTATTTATTACTGAATGAAATATCAATGAAGTTTTTATCATGGCATACAGTAACTTCTGTGAAGAATAATGACATAACTAAATTAGTAACGCTAATAATACTATCACTATGGGTATAGCACTGCATACTGGGGTATTTTATATACTAATTAATCAAACATATGCGATGTATTATAGTAAAAATCAATAGTACAGATTTTATGCATAAATCAGCAAAATCGATAAATTACTAGTAAAACATTAGTGATTAAAATTGATTTACCTCGCGTACTAGTAATTCTTTTGTGGCAATTTTCACGGCAAATGATAGTTATAATGTTGTAAAAAAAAGTTACAAGCTTAAATTTTCGTTTACATTAATAAATTTATTATAAAATTCATTTTTTAGATTAATCGTACTAAGTAATAATTAAAAAATTTTTAATTAATCATTTCACACTAATACTTGCTTTTCTTGCAATGCTACTGACTCCCCCACACACTGGCTTAGCTGCCACAGTCCACAGTCACTTATGCAAATTGTAAGCACAGCCATTGCAGAAGTAGTTACTAAAAACCCCAATGATCTTACTCCCCACAACGCAATGCAATCATAGACCTCATTAAATTCAACCCATTATTTAACAACCCCACCTTATCACCAGAACAAGTACACCACCTCCTTATAACTATAAAAGGCCTCATCTCGTCTCAGCTAATCCAAGCACTCCATA